GCGTCTTTGTTACAGGTTTCACAAGGAGGTATCTGAAGTGAAGTAAACTGGAGGGTATTGTTTGCCCCAGAAACATCATGTCAAGTCAGAATGGAAACACTGCACATTTCCAAGCAGTATGGATTTTTCAATAACAGGGCCAAGTAATCCTTTCAGAAAAAGCACCACAGATCATTCTTAGCATTTGTGCCACAACGTTCTTCAGTCACAACCTAGATACAAGAAGGCAAACGCTTCACTTCTCAGCGTTTGAGGCAGTATAATCAAATGCTGCTGAATCTCGCTGTTAGCAATCTCTGCCCCTTATAAGAACCTTTGCTCCTAAGCAAACAGCTGATCCACTAGTGAATCAGTTAAAGTTATGCAGACTAGGTTTAATGCAGGGAGGTGGAGAAAAAGGAGGTGACAAAGTCTTTTGACTGTTCAGCTACTCTGTTTCAACAAAGAGCTCTTGGCACCAACACTCCTGCATTTCTGCTGTGCCTCAGCCACCCCATTCTACCTGCTGGAGCCCTGTAAGTACCGGTTCCTAGTACTTGCTCACTCCCTTCTGGCCCACGGTGTGTGCCGAGTTATTCAGGCATGTTAGTGTGACAGAGAAGTGAGCAGGGGAAAAAAGAAAATGCATTTTTTGTGTGCAATGGCTTCCTTGACAGTCCTCCTTCTGACAACTAACACACCAGTACTCCCTATAAGACGAGCGGCTTTAAAATACGGCCAGATCTAGCTTGCTCTTATTCTGCCACGTATATGGACAGCTGATCTAGTTCAACAAAGATTTTTTTTAATGACATGGAAATTACTCACTACTGTTGACTGGATAATTCCCAAATCATCAATGCAATCCTTTGAGTGTTCCAATAGCTTTTACTACTGATGTAATCTCTTGTGCCATTTAAAACAAAACAAATGCATTCGAAGTCCTTCAGATTTAACACTACAATATTACCCAATCTCTCTATCGTGAGCTCGAGCTGTATCTTTGCTCTGCTACCAACAGTCATGCACGTGTGCATGTTCTCTGTGGAAGGAAAACTGCATTACAAAATTTTCAGAAATTCAATGCCTTATTGCCCCATAAACCTCAACTCTATTACACTGATTAAACAACTACCACCTAGAACTGCTAACTGAACTGCTTGATTTACTGATGATGATTAAGAATCGTAACACATTCATCTGTGCTGAAGTACTTTAAGTGTATAGGCCATCAACTAAGTTCTCTGAGCAGTGACAGTCACATTTACCTTTTTTACATAGTTCAGTTCTGACCTACTAAGGACCTTAAGCCACACCAAGATACACAAATATTTAAAAGCAATGCATTTTGTAAAAACACTTTTGGCTAAATGAAACTATGGCAATAACAGTAACTGGGTTCTCAAATACACTCAAATTATCTAAAATACAAAAACCTCCATATTTTTCTCATTTGGATTACTACAGTCTTAAAACTGAATTTTCGAGTTTTACCTCTGCTGCCAAAATACATGTAGCAGCAATGCTCAGCAAACAAGTATAAAGTACTGGAAGAAACTTCTAACAGTCTCACTAGTGTAATTTTTTCTAACCACTGTATGAATTGAGTAATATACTTAAAACTGCAGAACTCAGCCCAAGAAGACGCAATGATACCAGGAGCAATGTTGATAACTGACTGCTAAAGACTAGCAAGCGTTACAAGGAAGAAAACCACAGGGGTGAGAAAAGGATGAGGCAGAAGCTCAGCTGTCACTGACCGACCACTTTAATCTGTCAGCATCAGGGACACAACTCCGCCGGCACTGCACTGGCCAGCTTGTGAGATCTGTCAGAAAAACTGTAGACTATTGCTGCACTAGAAACAGAAGTGCTGCCTGATGGGACTTGGAGGAAAGGTGTGAGAAGAAGTATCCTACAGACAGACACACCGTTAAGATACAGACAATACAACATTCAATGCAGTAACTGATTTAGAAATAGGATAATGTGATGGGCCCTACAGATAAAGCAGCCAAAAAGTAGGAAAAGCAACCCCACACTTTACCTGCATAAAGCACTCACAGTGAGCACAAACAGAAGCAGCAGATTCTGACTGGAACATTCAAACCAAAGGGTAGAGGTCAAATAGTTCCCCAGGAACTCTCCACTACTGCCAGCCATTGAGGGCAGAGGACTACCGCTAACAGCTGAGCTATAGTTCAGCCAGGAATTTTATTCAATCTCCTTGTGGGACTACAACATACCCCTGCAGCAAAAGAGATTGAGCTGAAAAAACTGTTGTTGGTTTCTGTGCTTTTTTGTTGTTTTGTTTTTCACAACTATTACTGCATTAAAAAACACACACTAAGAACAGAACTATTAAAACAGTAATGTATATATATGCTGGCATAAGGCTGCCAGCAATACGTTGACAAGAAGCAAGAAGTCATTTAGGCAAGGACTACTGCACATACTCTTCAGTCGTCTGGACCAAGCTATTTTTATAAGCAAAAAATACAGCTTTACCTCTTTTTAGAAAGAGAGAGGGATGGCACAGCTAGCAAACAGAAAAAAAAATAATAAAAAAAAATAAAAAAAGGCTGTTTGCTTTACTAGTGTAAAAATAAACCCCTCAAACTATTTTCCAGTTTTACAAAGATACTTTCTTCAAACCAAGTGTCACAGGTCAATTTTTTTTTTTTTTCATTTTGTATAACAGCTACAAACACTTTAAAACACTGCATACCTATAGTACTACAGGTTCACAGTCACCTCTGGGAAAATTAGTAACAGAAGCAAACTATCCAAAACCATCCCAGTGTATATACAGCACTGCTTCCTCCCTTCTTTTAAACTTAAATATGTAAAATGCTACAGATCTTATACTGGTCAATTTTTTTATATATATAAATGAAAGTCCATCATTCACAAAAAAAGAGAAAAAGGCAAGGCTATTGAATATTCTCTTTCTCACTTTCATAATACAAGCTGCACTGAATTTTTCTGTTTCTGTAAGAGGAGAGGTATTGAAGCAACATGTGAAAATTCACATTTTCTAGAATAAGTATTTAAAGCCCAACATTCACCTATTCTAATTCTTCAATTACTTATTAACTTTCTGTAATCCACCCTGTCTGAAGCTCAGGAAGTACTATATTTGCTCACAATGAAGTGCAATGAAACACACCAACAAGGCAAGAGTATTACAGAGTATCTATCCATTTAACCCACATAAACTTGAAAAAACTAGATAGGAATACAGAAATTCAGTGATTATTTAATATGGAACCATCCATGGTTAACATGGATTCTAAAGTAAGATTTATAGTGTCAAGACCACCCTGTGCAATCGTTTTCACTATTTATACCCAATTGCACGTTCTCAAATTAATGTCATATGTAAGAAATACTAGAACTCCCTGCCAACGTTTGTAGCAGTTGTCACAATGGGAAATTCCTTCAACTGCAGTAAGATTCAGTTGCTCAATTTAAGTGGAAGCAACAAATAAAAGTATGTACTTTAAAGCAGAGAAAGACTATATCCAGTCTGAAGTCTGATCACACACCAAACAAGAATCAAGTACATGCCTGAATTGAACAATAGTAAGGATTTTCTTTAAGAATATTTTAAAGATAGTAATGAAAATAGAGAGGATACGTTAGAGGAGAGAACACTCGACGTGGATGTTTTGCACCATTGTGTTTAAAAGTGCATCAAACTGCAATCAAAACATAGAGCCTGAACTGAAGCAGGTGACTATGGTATTCAGTTGAAGAACCATGCATAAACTGGCAGACCTTACTGCTTGCTTTACTGTGCTGAACAGAAAAAGGCCTGCTGAAAATCTTCTGTTCCTCTGTAGTTTGTAGTTAACATTCATGTACCAGGTCATGTAAAAATTACAGTCTCAAGAAAAACACAGAAAATTTCTTTACATGCACAATTTTCTTACATTGCACTATTTGCCAATGTATGATATTGTTTGGATATTTTGAATGGCCAAGTGCACTTATTTCTGTGTTAAAGCTGGAATTCTTTAAACAAGAAAACTGGAAGGCAGGAAAGCAAATGCAGAGTGTAAGACCAATGACAGATCTGAGTCTTTTTGTTCTTCTTTTTAGCACTGTGCTATTCTTCTGTAACTACAGACTTGCAAATATCAACAAGGCAACAAGCCATCTTTCAAAAAAAAAAATTAGTGTCATACTAATTAAGCAGTATTTTAAATTAAAACCAGATGTGTTTATAAAAAAATACTCTCTCCCCTCCCAAAGCCCCCAAAAGAGAATGTTTTATACAATGTTACTAAGAACTCGACTATACCAAAATATCCCCCTATCACTAATAATACACATCTCCATTCTCACAATCTTCTTGAACTCTTCTTTCTTAATACTGAAGTAAATCCAATTAAAATATAGACTTCTGAAGGGTCACAAACACCACACAGTGAAGTCCTGATGTTCACTTGATGTGTCTAAATGTGTCTGGTATTATACAGAAATACAAACTTTTCAGCACTTTTAGAACTGAAGACTCAGTATACCACATGACACAGATCAAAACAGAAGAGTAGCTGTTACAGACACGTAGAAAACCGTGTTGCTTTCTGTAAGAACTGGCATCCCAAACACTAACAGCAGTTCATAAAATATGGTCCAAAATCAGTTTCAAATGGTGTAACTCTATGTTAAGAACTCAAATAATGGCAAAGATCCAAAACAACAGGAGGGAGGACAAAAATTAAAATACGTCCTACTAAAATACATCTTTCAAATTATCATTTGAAATTATAATTTGTAGAATAAGCCAATAAACAGCACATATTGCAGTGTGCAAGTAAGTGCAAGTGCAAGTTCTATAAAATACAGCAAACATTGTTTAAGGGGAAATAAACACATCAAAAGAATAATCGGGTTCTAAGCACACACAATCAACAGGAAAAATATCTTTAAATTCTGGAACTAACATACTTTGAACAAGCAATGCAAATGCAATGCATCATCTTAAATACTAGAAGGAATTTTATTAGACATACCTTTTCTCTCTGTTTTCTGTGCAGGGATGGAAGATGTGGATGTAGGCAGTTTTGATAAAGTAGATGCTCCATTAGCATCAAAGGATTTCTTTGGCTGGTGATCAGATTGTAGAGAAAATGGACTAGGAGGAACAGTGCTTGGGGTAGCAGTTGGATGAACCACTGGTTTGATGGGATGCTGTACTGGAGTAGAACTACTGTGAGTCTCTGCTCTTGGCAGTCTGTAGTCTCTGTCATTGTGCCTGCTTGTTTGAGATAAAATATTCTGTGGGAGCATATTACTGGCGTCACTGGAATGCTTGTCTTCCACTTTTTTTCAGGATTCCCCAAGTAATGTTGCAATAAGAAAAAAAGATTAAATTAGAAACTTGTCTAAGATTGCAGTGACTTTGATTAATACAGCTGCACATCAACAACTAGAGCTGATTAAACTTCTTATGATTAAAAAAAAAGCCTCAAGTAGATCAGCATCAAAAAAGGCAAAACTTAATTTTACTCACTGACAAAATGTATTTTCTCTGACCTTTGCTTGATTTAGAGTTCCGGTTAAGCACTGTGTTTTGATGAAAGGCTGCTTTATAACAAGTGTTACAGTCAAGTTAACTTTTGAAGTCTCCTAAAAAATCTCAATCAAAATCTATTATTTCCATCTTATAATTAGCATGAGGAGATAATTCGTGCCATTTCTTCTTTTGTTCATTTAAAATTCTGAACATCGAGTATAATTTAATAGTTTCAAATTCTAGCCTTCAAAGAATTCCACTTGAAGTCACTTGAGTACTACTACAAAGAATTTACTTTCTATTGAATTAATTCAAGAATACTATCTATTAAACGAGTGACTAATCTGCATTTGTCACATGCTACAGAGGGAACATACCAAGCAAATATAGAGTAATTCTTTTTATTGATTCCTAGATTTTTCAACTGTCACAAAACAAATAGTTACTGCAATATGCATTTCTGCTATCTTTTCATTGCATGCAGTATGTTTCAGCATACACAACAAAACAGCCCCTTATACATCTCTGCCTTGTCAAGTTCCAAGCAGGGGGAGAAGGGGAGGTGAGGGAAGAAAAAAAAAAAAAAAAAAAAAAAAAGATGAATACTTTGGCTTCTACTTTTAAACCACCCTGAGAACTATGCTATAAATTCACCCAAACTGCATCAGCATACAGAAAAAATCTTATAGTACAACCATTTCCCAGAAAAAATTGACAAAGATTAAAGCTAGGTATCAAGAAAAAAATTCCCAAGTAACAGAAATTCATAGTCTAGGAAAAGGTTTGCTAAGATTATTGGCATGGTAAAAATATGCTTTCAATAATGTACACAAGCCTCTAAAAACTCTGATATCATAATCCATTAAATTAGCTTATTATTTTCAGATGCGAAATCAAGGTTTTAGAAGACTTCTGCATCTCTATTCTTAAGAATATGACATTAACAAGTCTCAATGATCTCGACAGTCCAACTATACCGTAAACAGTGCAAGTTGTTTCAATAACAATCTATAAAGATAATTAAATTAGGCAGTAAAAGCTGCAAAAAGGAGTACCACCATGAAAAGCATTAAGCAAGTGTTGTACTAGTAAAGGCTCAAAATTATTTTAAGAAACAACATTTGGGAGAGCTGTCTGTGCTACCCGCTTTGGCCTTTTTATATAAAGAGGTGAGAAAAACAACGAAGGAGAGGGATTTTAATTTTTTTTTTTTTTTTTAAGTTTGGAAAAGAAAATAGTAATGCAAACAAGGCAAGAATGTATTACTGTAAAAAAACCACATACTTCCACTGGCAAACCCACTGGCAGCTGTCGCCTGCATCACCTCTCTTCTGTAATCCCTATCTTTTGGAAAACTGTTAACTGACATTTTGCTTGCTTCTTTTTGTCTCTGCTCTCTGAAGAAAAGAAAACACAAGTTAAGTAAGAACTCACATCATCCAATAATATAAAACATAACACTTTCTATGGGTGAAGTTACATGAGACCAATTTAACTAACCTAAGAGCTTGCTGCTACAGATGGAGTGGGCAAACTCCAGCCATTGCTTCCTTACATCAGTGCTTGTCAAAGCCCTCAATACACCAGTTCAGCTCACTAACATTGCAAAAATAACCAACAACCAACCCACCAAAAAACAAAACAAAAACCCCAGATGACCTCACCAAAAAACAAAAACCAAACCAACCATACTTCCCCCTCCCGCTATGGATCATCAAGGGATAAAATAGGTGCCAGAGGTCACGGTAACAGAAGGAACACAGTAGACTTGGACCACAATCTTTTATAGCAGTAATCTATTAGATAAGCTCAACTGGTCTTAAATGAGCTTAAGAGTATTTGTTCTATATACAATGAAAACAAACACACACATATACCTTTCCAGCCACTCTTTTGGTTTTTCCCATTGTGAAACCTCTGTTCGGCAGTTGTAGTAGTATTTTTTGCCTGAAGAGCTGATGTGTTCAGACCAATCATCCGCAGAATCGTAAGCCTGTAAAATACAGTGTTGGACAACAGACTACTTGAGAGTTTCAACATACAAATGTAAAAGCTTCCACCATTTCTAAAACTACATGGCATCCTCATATGCACCCATATCACTGTTTTCCATTTTCATTATCCCTAAATGCCTGTTTCATTTTGATACTTTAAAGATGTGACCACTACACTCCTGTTGCATTCTGCAACAGTTTCCTCTGTTTTATTCCCATCAACTCTGAAACAAAACCTAATAGTACATTGAATGGGATACAGTAATATCAGTATCAATAACATTAGTTTTCTGCACCTTAAAACTTCCTCAAAAAGTATTAATTATATTTTCAAAATTTTTCTATACTTCACAAATACATCTATTCTGTTTTCAATGCAATTTTTATCAAACACCACCCTAACTACTAAAACTTGGATAATAAAGTGACTAAAATTCACAATGTATAATGCACCTTAAATAAGTAAAATTATACTGTATTCTCTAGATTTACCAAAGTTCATGGAAAATATTTCTCACTATATCTACTTCATTTAAATAATCTAGTACTTTCAAATTCAAGACAGGTACCTCAAAGATCTAATTGTATCAATTAGAATAGTTTTACAACATATAACAACTGCAGCATGGGTTCACAGAGTGTTTATAAAAGAAAGACTGACGCTGGAGCAATGAAGCAGGTCATGCTGCCTGTTTTAGACAAAATGATGAAAATATAGCGTGGATGAATGGAGTGACACACAGATGAATAGCAATCATAAATACTCACTGCATCAGAAGTTTTGCTTGGATTATTGCTGGGATTAGAAGAATGTGAATTTGAACTATGAAGAGCACTGTGGTTATGTGAATTTTCTTGTGGAGAGTAACTGGTCCCTAAAGAAAAACAGAAAGAGTGGTCACCATGTATATTTTCAAAGAAGTCAACCATTTACATTCAAAGGAGGTGGAAGGGGAAAGGAGAGGGCAGGGGAGAAGGCAAGTTGTCCACAGCTTGGACCACAGCATAGTTCAGATGCAGAAGTATTTCACGAGACCATATGTATATTTCTTTTTCACACAGCATAAAGCTCACTTTGCCCTCTAGTTACAATAATGTGGTTAGTCCCTTAATTAGTCTTGCTCTCAAACATCATTCCACTAGAAACAAACAAGTAGCCTTTATATTTTTTGATGGCTGGAGGAGTCCTAATAGGTCAATTCAGAAATTAAGAGACATTTTCTCCTCAAGTTAGAAAGTTTAAATGGGTTTATCATCAGCCTACACAGTTAGATACGTACACAAAATCAGGTTTTAAGTGCACTGGAGCAATGCCGTTTTCTTAACCCTTTTGAGACTACTTGTAACTGGTTCTAGGTAACTATTTCTAATTATGCATCTAGATTAAATTAATTTCCCTGCACCTCAGTCTCTGTAATCTAGGTGTTGACATCTAGAATACCAAAGGCAGCATTTCCCAAACCACCACCTGCTTCTGGCCTCCCTAACAACTGTTTCACAAGGTAATCCAGTTTTCTTTCTTGCCATGAAAACACTTGGGCACAAGAGAACAGCTGGGAAATGAAAACGGAGATAATTCTCAACACCTTTTACATCTACATTTGCACCTAAGATCAAGTCACCAACTACACCTGAACAGTTCTAATTACAAATAAACAAGGCTATCCATTAAACCCTCCACAATCCTATTTTAAATTTTCTTCTCTTAACGCCTCCCATTCCTCAAAAATTTCTAAGCAAGTAAAAATCTCTTGCATTCTTTATGCAATTTCCTCTTTGTAAGTTTTAAATGTTCACATAAATCACAACTGAAAAAAAAAATTCTTACACATTCCAGGGAAAAAACTAGCTATTCCAAATACAACACTCCCTGCCTTTATTTTTCCTCTGCCTGCTGAGAAGTTTTTAAATACCCAGGGATACTATATTTCATACCACTAGCTTCACATACTGTATAGAGATCTAAGTATGAAGCCAAAGTGCCTTGCAAATCGCACCGACTGTATCTTATGGGCAACTACAATAAAGAACAGTCCACTGAAAGTGGACTGATAGGTGGGAGTGAATGAAGCCATTAAAATATTTTTTTTAAGTGTTCTGAGAGCCACACATGCAGAAGATGACTAAATGATTTATCATGGTGCAGAATGGGAGAGATTACAATGCAAATTCTGAGCCTTTTGACTACACAAGTGTTGACAAAATTACTATTTCAAACTTCTTCCTCCCTGCCTCTAACCCTGCAGGTTAGAAAAAACAGCCCATCACAAAAGCAGAGGTACACCATGACTAATCTGCTTAGTACCCTACAAAGGTTAAAGGATGATTTGCACATGCATGAGTTGTTGCAACCTGAACTTTCAGTAGCTCTGAAGCTTTTCGTACAAGATTTTGGCTAAAACCATATGTCATTCTCTTCAAAGATCTGGGAGTAAAAAATATTTTAAAATAAAAAAAAGAAAAAGGAAAATGTCTTGTCTTCAAATACAGCCTTCCAAAAAGCAAGACAGTTAGTCCTACATCAAAAGGATCTTGCATACAGCCAGGTGAAATGATTTACCATGGGGTAACTCAAGCTTGTCAAAGCAATACTCACAACATCACATGCTTTTGATGCACATGAATAGCAAAAAAAAAATTGAGCATCTAGTGAATAATGTGACTTTACATGTTACGTACATTAGAAAATTCCAGAATTTAGTCTTTAATATGCATTTATAAAAACAGACACATTTAATTCTCCTAAATGTATGCAAGAAGCACATTATAATTACAAGACTTTACTCCTCAATCAGTCATACCAACAGTCTATTGGTTTTTTTAGACACTGATTATGGTGTCGGATAGCTGTTTAATATTTTTGTATTAATCATTTTTTAATGGTCTTTATTTATTTACTACACCCTTCTCAAACTCTACTGAAAGAAAATAATTAAAATTTCTTCATGTGGTTCTGTAGGTTCCTTAATGCAGACACCGTTCATTTCTACTATGAGGTAAAAACATCTCCCCTTCTAAAGGAAAAAACAAGATGAAAATTTACCAGATGGCTTGTTTGAGCAGTTTGATATTAGTCACTTCAAAACTTTAGAAAATACCAATGCAGTTAATTTACTGTAATCCCATACCATGGATGCAGTAACGTTACATTTTGTTCAGCGTACTCAAGATGCAGTTGGTGATTTTTAAATATTGTAGCGGTCTAAATACACCACCACAATAAATCTAATCTAACATCCATTTTCCAAACACAAGTAAGAGCCACCAACATACGTATTAAATCAATAAAACCCTTTAAAGCCAATTCTATACAACCCATAAACAAACCCCTCAAATGAACCGAGCAGACTTCCAGCCTCCACACGGTCTAACAGCTCAGCAGCATCCCCCCACCGTTTCACACCCTTCCCTGCCGCCCTGGTTCCCCCAGCCCCGGTACTGAGTCACAAACCACCTCGGAGCCAGTATCGGAGCGGCTGCAGCAGTCACACCCACCTACAGCTGGACCCGATAGTCGGAACGCCTACTATGCGGCAGTTTCTCCATAAGGAGCCCCTGGGCCTCTCTGCGCTGAGCTGCAGTCCTCCCAGCAGAGCCCCCGGCTGCACAGCCCTGGGCTTGCCCTGGGTCGGGGACCCTGCCCTGCCTGAGCCGGCCTCGGCTCTGTAACAACTCGTCGTGGCTGCGCCAGCAATGCCGATTGCCTCGGCATTGCCAGGACGAGCTACGTGGGCTTTCGCAAGGGCCAGCCGTAAATACATAGCTGATGATGTCTAGGACAATTACACAGTGTAATTACAGGCACAGCTTCACCCCCATACCTCCATTTTATTTTATGCATAATACTGCTTTAAGTTTGGCTCAGTACCCGAACTTCAAGGGAATAAGCACGTGAAAGGGCTGCCAAACTGATGTTTGCTTTTGGGAAGCTTCCAAGACCAAAGCAGATGATGCTCTGGAGAGAAGAGTTTTAGGCACTTCAGGCAGTCAAGGGCTTAAAGATCATATGCAAACACCCAAACCGTATCACCAAATTAACCACATAGTAAAACCTGGCTGCCTCAGTATCAAAAGGTACAGTCACCTGGGAATTCTGACGACCCGGGCAAGCAAGCGTTGCCACGGAGAGTTGCTCAAGATCTTTCAAAGGCCACCGAGTTAAAATTGTATGCAGAGAGCAATCCACAAGTGGAAGTCTACCTCTAAAGAGAACGGGGGTTCCCCTTGCCTGCACGCTAGCTTTCACATCAGCAAAGCCTAACCCTGAGCTATTTTAAGGCAGCTGTGACTTGCAATCAGCTCTGTGTCTCCCTGCTGCACACCTGCCAAGGTAGATTATGAGAACAGGATCACTAAGATCAGTCCGTATCCCAGAAACAGGCCTGATAAGGTGGACAGCATGCTACTGTCCCTCAAGATGTTCCCTTATAGCGCTTCTCACCCTTTCCTCTTACGGTTCCACCTTCCTTACTAGTCCCACTTTCTTCAAGAAAGACGGAAAAAAAGACTTGTTTCCAAAATGCTTATTAGCATACCTTAGGATTTAGCAAATGCAAATATCTATCTTTGATGCACCGTAGGAAAACTCATATTGTGCTATAAATCCTCCAATTCAGTTACAGAATTCCCTGTGGAAATGTTTACTGCACCATCACTGTGACTTTCCTCAGCTTAATCATTATTTTGGGAGCAGTTAAATCTGGAAAGAGCTATTCCTAACTGGAAGATGGCCAAGAAGGGCATCAGCACTGCCGTTATATAAAACTACAGTGGTGTAACTGTGTGAGAAGGCCTTCACTAGCACTATCTCTAGTGAGGAACAGGTCACAGGACAGGTCAGAGTCAAGGTTAAATTATCATAATTATCTTCAAGTCTTTCAAATGAAAATCACATCTTCTTCACTAATGCGTGAAAATCAGCAGAAAGCACAAAAAGCATGGTCCTGTGAACCAATTCAAAAACCAAGCTGTGACTTAATGCCTACTACAGATTTGAGATTTTGCCATGCCAAGATGCACTTAAACGTTTTTGTAAGTAGTTTCCAGATCCAAACTGTTGAATCTATGACAGTTTGAACTGCAACACAACTTCAACACTATGCTGGACTTGGAAAACCGATATAACATAGGGTTATATTCTTTCCATTTTGCAACATAGTCAACTTTCTCTTGTAATGATCACATTTAATTAATGTCTCCATTAACACCACTTCAACTCTGTGAAATTAAGAGTTGAAATTCTGAGTTAACTAAGGATTAGACTGCTCTAACAAAGCAACTCCCCTTCTTCCCTGCCATCTTTCAAGAACAACTCCTTCCTTTTCAAAACCTATACAACTATACTAGCAACTACAGCATCCATTTGTAACCAGCTAAAATAAATTTTCTTGGTGCTTGAAGGGTCAAATACATCACCATGCATTCCACACCATCCTCTGGCATCCAAGTGTCTTAGCCTAATTAAAATTCTTTTTAGCTCCTAACATTATGCAGCATCATAAACATAAATTCTGCAACTGAAATGCACAAATCAGAACATTGAGACACATTAGTTACCTTCAAAAGATAATCTACAATCCAGATCAGCAAACAGTAAAAAAATATTCTATTCTTCACCCTCTTCAAACAAACATACACTGAGAAATTAGATAGTAAACAAGTTCACACACCTCCACTCACACCCAAGATTTTAGCCAGGCACAAATAGTAAAATTACAGTAGTATAGTGTTGCACTCTACAATAATTAACTTCATACAGTCCAACGTAGATAAAGCATTTATGTTTCCTTTTCAGTCAGACAAATACTTTGTTAACATCCTAACTCTCCTTTTGGCCATAATAAAAAGTGCCAGTGCTGACAACCCAAAAGAAAGT